AGTTAAAAAATATATATATTCTGAGCAAGTTTGATTGAAACCGTAAATAGTTCAATAATGACAATACTCAAAAAACAAGATAACGTTTATTTTTTGCAAATAATTGAAGGATATAAAACGAAATCTGGGCTTTTGTGTTGATTCGGACTGGCTCCAGTGCGTTTTGAGAAAAGGAGATGATGCATTTCAATATGGTAATCACTCACCCGGGGCATGTTTCATTTATTGACAGATTTCATGTTAAATGTCTCAAGCTCACTTAGTGTTGTAGCTCTTAATTTATTATGTTTTGAGCTCTCTCTCCCTCGTTCTCCCTGCTTTGACCCTTCGAGGTCACACAAGCAATTCTTTTTTTAAACGCATGATTAATTTCTCAGTAGGGCGACGGGCTAATGCATTATGAAGAAAGTGAAATGTATTCCAAAGGGGCTAATAGCGCTATTGTATTCCAATAAGCCTTTTCCTGCTTCGCATGGTTTAGACATGCTCCGCGTTTGATAACATGTCAGCGACATCTCTCTCAGCTTGGAGAAAGTTGTGAATAATTACGTCTCTTTCTAAAAAAAAACTTTCATTATTGGTTAAAAACACAGGGATTTTGCCAGTTTAATTTTGTATAAGAGATGTCAATGCAGCCACAAGCGTAGTTCGTTAGGTTTTTATTAAGATACAAAAATCGACGTTACTCGGAGTTTGAAACGTCCAAGCAATACAACACTTCTATCCATTTATAAAAAATAAAAAAACACTGTAAACAACTCTGTGTTAAATTCCTACATTTCAATCAAAAACTTTATTTAAATCGCCTAAGCTTCTAAACCTCTACCTGCTTTTTGTTACGTGGGCTATTATCATTTCCTCTCATCGCTATTGTGACGTCACTGCCTTCAATCGCTGCGGCCCGTGCGTGGCTCGCGCCCGCAGAGCCCCCGCCCCCCCCCCCCCCCTCCTCTCTTGTCCCTTCTCAGCTATAGAGTGGTCCCGTGGCGTCCGTCCGCGAGACAAAAGCACGCGCAGTGACAACCTAAATTGGTTTGAAAAGGAGCAGATGGGGCTCGTGCTCTCTACTGTGTCGCTTTTACGAATGAACACACACGCACACACACACATGCACGCACAGATTTGTGTCATGTTTATCAAGATGCTATTGAAAACAGATTGGGCCAGAATAAATTACAGGCAGTCTCAATATCCAACAGTCTTTTAAAAAGATTGAGAATTGATTAGATACACTTAACAATTACTAATAATAATTCCAAAAAACAAGTTGAATCAAAAAGTTGTTGTCTTTGTGCATTTTATTGCGTTTATAAATAATTTAGAGAACAAAAATGGACTGGAAAAGGACTGTTCTGACACAAATAAAGTATTATTTCATGACTAAAGGGTTAACAAATATTTATTTATTTATTTTTTGAAAATGCAACATTGACTGTAGCTTGTGTACAAATATGTTCATGTTGAGATCAGACTGAAGTCAAGTATATACTCTAGCCATATAGCCACTACCAGTTGCTTTATATTTCTGCCCCATGTCTATTATATATGTTACCTTTAATCTGAATGCATGCAGGCCTATATGCCAAAGTTATTTTAACCACCTAAACACTGAACCCTTACAGCCCATGACAAGGGTCTGCGTGTGTGTAACACCATGAATATTACGTCCTGTTATATCAGCCATTGCAATAAATGGTTTAGTTAGTAATCTTCATCCCAGACATGAAACATGAGCCAAAGAAGAACAAGTCCTAAAAACAACTTTATTACGTTGTTTTAATTAAAGAGGACAATCAGTATTTGGGACAACATTTCCCTTCATCCCCATGCAGAGTTAAATGAGATCCTGTCTTGCAATGCAGACGTTTACTAAGGACTATGAGGCACTGAGGCAGCTCTTATCTGGGTTATGGACTTAATATTTAGGTCTGCACTTCATATCTGTAATTTTCCTGCATATTTCTAGTGGAAGGAGTAATTGAGCAGCCATGCCATCTAAGAGCTTGGAGCAGGGCCGTAGGAATTCCTGGGCCCTCTGATGCAGTACTGTGGTCGCACCCCCATGTTTGTCCCCACCATCACATGTGTTGAATACGAAGATGTGAGTATAGTCTTCCATATTCTGTCTGCTGTCTTTGGCACACTGCATCTGTGTTTAAAAAGCTCCTCTTTCAGCAGTTTCTTGGTGAACACTTTGCATCTCACAAATTGTGTTTATCAAAAGTCAGTTGTTTTCCAGAAATGTCAAAGATGCCCCCTAAAAGTGTGCAGTCTACTAGCACCATCATACAATTGAATGGCAAAGCTTGTATTGTAGTTATGACTGGTTTGGAGCCATGTGCAGTGTCAAACACATTTTTTATAAATATTCATTAAGTGAACTTAGCTAAAATTATGTTAATTGTAAATGTTATATTGGGTCTGCTTATAGTGGAGGTCGGAGGACAACCATAGACTGTATAAAGAGGAGAACATGTAAAGTTACCATCTAATTTCTTGCACAATCAGATGTGTATAAAGTGTCTACATTACATTTTGTATTTTTTTAGATGTAACTTTTATTCACCATTCAGTACGGTATTGCTACGGGAGCAGGTTGGGGCTAGATGCCCGAGGACACTTCGACATGTTGACTGCAGGGAGTGGGTATCGAAACACCGACCTTCCGACTGAAATACGCTATTTCACCCCCTAAGCTTTTTCAGCATGCTCGTGCATCTCTCAGTCCGTCTATGTTGCTACTTTGACTTTTTCAGCTCGTGACGTGAGTATCAGTTAGCAAGATATCTTTTAGCTGTTCTTCAACTGAACCAAGCAGGAATAAAGTGTGTGTGGAAGTGCCTACGAGTGTGTCCTGTGTGGTGGGCTGAGCTTGCGCTACACGCCAATCAAACACGAGGCAGGTGCGTGGTAGAGTGAGAGAGAGAGAGGGGGAGAGAGACTGCGAGAGATACTGCGAGAGAGAGAGAGTCGGATTAGTACAGCGCGTGGAGTCTCTGAGAAGCGAATAAAGCCGGCGCGAGCGTCGCAGTTTACTCACATCTCACGAGCTGCTCCTCAGTAGACAGTTGGAGAGAGAAACCGGTACCGCATCCCGGATATATATCAGTACAATTCGCGTGATAAAAATGAGTATTTTAAAGCTGCGTAGGATAAATCGATTTCTCTTGTAACGGGGAGACTTTTTTTGGATACGCTGTGACAGTTTCTGGGATTCTCGGGAGTCAGAGGTAAGACATCGATTTCTGTCTGTAAAGTTAGCTTGAATAGTTGGTTAAAATGAGCGTACTTAACATCATCTGTGTGGGACAGAAAACATGCTTTTAAAAAGTATTTATTCGATTAAAATGCTTGAGAAAGTGAGTGTGGATTTTTTCAAATGCCGTCAATTTAAATTAATATGGGCCCGTTGCATCGTCATATGTTGTTATCTGTATTATTATTATTATATCTTAGTTATAACATGAACAAACCTTTACCGTTAATATTGTTCAATGGACTAACATAATGCCTGACTTACCGATAAGTGTGTTGCTTTAATAAAGGCCTACTGTTACTTGGCGAGTAAACTTGTGCTTCAATAAAATTACACACATTTAAGAAGAAGTTAAATGTTGTTGAGTTATTTGAAGCTTAACTCTTTAGTCATATTGTTAATTGCTAAATAGTTGTACAGGCTTTTGCTATTTCTCGTTAATAGCAAAAACGTTACATATAAATATATTCCAATTCAAAACGAAACCTGTCTGTTTAATATAACCACATTTCAGTTCGTTTTTATTATGTGGAATTGTAGTTTTCCTTAATGTAATTTGCAATTGAATTCGTTATAAATAGCAGCATCTTATTTGTGTTTTTTGTTTTTAAATCATTACACATTTCATGCACATAAATATCACGTGCTTTAGGTAATTTCAAAACTGTTAATTTCATAAGACTTTAATAATGAAGTAAAAAAAAGAAGTGGTTTTGATGTCACAGGACATTTCCAGTAAAACATTTATTTCGCAATAAATGTCCTGCCATTTTCGTGATACTGCTTTAAAATATATCTAAATAAATCATATGGATACAAAAGCGAAGGAATACAGTATTTAGATAGGAAGAAAGGGCCAAAGCCAACTTTCCTAAATGAAGTTGATTATTACCTTAAATGATTTATATGGGCTGTATATGTTTCCTGTATCCTATTAACATGTTTAGGTTACTCCGCTTTCTAGATAAAGGATATTTAAAAAAATGTAAAAACACATTTAAATTAATTGAAATGTAATGTATTAATTAAATTAATGTATTAATTAAATTAATGTATGCCTATTTGTTTGAATATGGATAATACTGTACTTTAACTGCAACCATTATGTTGCAAGCTTCTGTTTTCATAGTTAGTATTGTTTAAAACATACACAGGCAAACACACTCATTACTTTTAAATATATAAATGCTTCTGAGAAAAAAAAATGTTAGTTAAATAAATGTAATTGATTTCCATGAGTTGATTATTGCAAACTGTTGTGTTTGCTGTTTACTTAACATTCCACTTTCACAGATACTTGTTCATTCAATATCTTTATCCAGTTATTTTTTCTGTGCCCTCAATCATTTGTTGTTGTAGTTAAGAAAACAAATCAATTGTTATTATATTTTGTAATGACTTATTTGACATTTAAAAAATGTGTTCAGTTCTGTAAAGATCGAAAGACAAACAACGTTTGCTGTTTTTCTGTAAGATTGGGTAACAGAAGCTTTTCATTTAAATGCATTTCATTTTAAATAATACAGATTATTTTTAATATGCACTTGTTCACACATCATCAGCTTGTTTCTGGGCCTACGTGTCATAATTAGTGTTTCTTATAATAACAAATACTTAGATTCATTTCATATTATTTGTAAGAAATAAGAGGATTTGTATGTGGTTAATAAAAAAATCAACAAATGTTTTCCTTCTTCCTTTCTTTTTGAATGCAGGTCTTTCTACATACCCTTTTCCTCACAGTATGGATAAGACCCATCTTTCGAGCACTAATGACATCATAATGACAAGCTCCACAGGCTCCTACCAGCAAGAACCCCTGACACCACCCAGATCCGCCCATCTCCACTCCTCATCCTCCTCTTTATCTTCTCCCTCGCCGTCCTCATCCTCCCCACCCATGAAGCCTAACCAAGTTGGCCAGGTCATCCTGTATGGCGTTCCCATCGTATCGCTGGTTATCGATCACAACGAGAGACTATGCCTGGCTCAGATTTCCAACACACTCCTGAAGAACTATAGTTATAATGAGATTCACAATCGGCGCGTGGCGCTGGGCATCACCTGCGTCCAGTGCACTCCGGTTCAGTTGGAGATCCTCCGTCGGGCCGGCGCCATGCCCATCTCATCGCGGCGTTGTGGTATGATCACCAAGCGTGAAGCCGAGCGCCTCTGCAAGTCCTTCCTGGGAGAGAACGCACCGCCGAAACTGCCCGACAACTTCTCCTTCGATGTGACACATGAGTGTGCCTGGGGTAGCCGAGGTAACTTCATCCCGGCACGCTACAACAGCTCCAGGGCAAAATGCATCAAGTGCTCCCTTTGCAACATGTACTTCTCCCCGAATAAGTTCATTTTCCATTCCCACCGCACGCCGGAAGCCAAGTACACCCAGCCCGACGCCGCCAACTTCAACTCCTGGCGTCGACACCTCAAACTCTCTGACAAAATCCCAGCTGATGAGTTAATCTTCGCATGGGAAGACGTCAAAGCTATGTTCAACGGAGGGAGCCGGAAAAGAGCGCTGCCGTCTTCGTCCCATTGTTCCTCCATGGGGCCCATGAAGAATCTCGCAGGTTCCGTTCACATGATGGGGTCTGACCTGGGTGCTCAGAAGAGATCCCGCTTTGACGACGATGATGATCTGGATGGAGGCAATTTGTCTCCCCGTAAGACCTCACGTAGCTACCCTGTCATCCCAGTCCCGAGCAAAGGCTTCGGCATGCTGCAGAAGTTCCCTCCCACGTCGCTCTTCCCTTCGCCTTACCCCTTCCCAGCATTTGGTCTCTGCCAGCAGAAAAAAGATGACAGTGATGTTTCAGGTGTGCAGAAAGGATCAGGGTTGTCAGGTCTGTTATGGCCCGGCCGCAAAGACACTTTTTATCCTCCTTTCTGCATGTTTTGGCCACCAAGAGCGGCGGGAGGAATCCCTGTCCCTACTTACCTCCAGCCTCAGCCCAGCGCCCTCTCCTCCCTGGCAGACAACCCCTCTCTCAGGCAGGCCTTTTTGGATCTCTCAGACCACAGCGAACCTGGAGTAGTTGGCAACGGAAATAGTGTCAGTGCAACCATGGCCCCCGGGACTGCCACAGCCAGACCCGGGCTGTTTGACCCAGAGTGTACAACAGTAACCCCTGACCTCCGCCCTGTGACCTCAGAAGGCTGGCTCAAACTTCTGGACACCCCAGCCCTCCAAAGCAGGAAGCCCAGCTACGGCTCAGCCTTCAGGCCCGTCATTAAGGACGCCGAGAGCATCGCTAAGCTCCACAGCAACGGGGGAACAGATGAGGACTTTGTAGTGGCCAGGTCTGAACGCCACCAGCGGCTTTCGCCCAGCAGCAGCTGTAGTTACGGAAGTGAAAGTGGAGGCGATGTAGAGGCGGAGGGAGTGGAGAGTGAGGAGGAGGGGGAAGTGGATGTGGAGTCGTCAAAGCAGGAAGACGAGGAGGAGGAAGGGGGCTTCACAAGCAGGCTGCCACAGACTCAAACCAACCTGTACCACCCTGCGCTAAGCGACAGCCATGGAGAGGAGAGGGGGAAGGAGAGAGGGAGTGGCGCTGTGTACACCAGCACCTCCCCTCCCTCCTCCTCAGACCCCATTCGGCAGGGGTCCCCCAGCCTGCCAGCATCCCCTTCAGCCAGCCTGCCTCTCTCCGGCTCCACCCCGCCTCACCGAGAGGACCCTGCTTACAAAAACGTAAATATCCCCGCAGGCCACTTTAGCTAATTATTATTTAAATGGTGCCGCAGTCAGGCAGCGATGTGATCTGCATAAGCAGATTGATAGACCGGTTTCTCCCTGAAGAAATTGAAACAGTCACCCCAACTCTGATCCGGGCTAATAGGCCCAGGTGTGGGTTGTTTAATGGCCACGGTGTGTTTGTTCTCCCTCTGTCACCCCAGCCTGTTAGGGCAACTCTAATCTGTAACCTGCCGACTCCCACATTAACCAGGCCTCTGAGGGAGAGGGGAGGAGGGGAGAGTTATGAGGAGCATTTGAAACCAGAACAGTCTAATTATTCATTGTGTAACAAATACATCAATGGATAGGGAACAACCATACACTCCAAATTAGATCATTACAAAGGGTTGAAACCCATGGGCTGATTAAAAAGGAGATAGCATTTGTCAAGAAATGATTTAAATGTTTGCACAAATTAAATCCATATTAATAAAACATTTGCAGGTCTTTAGATTACAAAAGGAAACTCGTGTTTATCAACACTATTCATCACATCAACAAATCTAGTTTACAAAGAAATGCTTTTACTATAGGAAGTATATCCTGCGTTGATGTAATTGAAGTCTTTTTTGCATAACGTGTATATGAAATTCTTACAGACTGCTTTTCTTTCAGGTCCACAAAAATAGAGATGAAGGACTACCTGTGTACGCGACCAAAGACAACTCCAGCATTTCTGGTGAGCACAGACATTACTATGTTTTTTAAACTTTTCTTTTTAAAACTGCACATTTTCCTTTTTTAAGTCCATAATGGAAGATTATTTATATTGAATAAAATATTAAGTATTTCTTCCTTGACATGATACAGTCGTTCCCATCTGTTTCGTGCAATTCCCCCTTTTAAGTCTCTCTCAAAAGTAAAAATACATTAAACCAAAAAACACTTTCTCTTTCACAAACCATCTACAAAAAGCTCTACAGTTTGCATGGGATGCTTGACACGACTTCTTTCACCCTACAGTTGTTTTACAATGTCTTGGTTTCATCAAATGTTTGAACAGGTTCATCAAATAGCATCACCCAGTCTATTTCAGCAAACTGTTACACGCTCTCTGTTGTATTATAGCATCTTTGTTTCCTTTAGTGTCTGAGTGAGTGGTTTTATTGTTCCTCCCTGCGAGGCTCATATTCCTGTGACGTTTCATTTGCTCCTCTCATCTCACACTCTGACCCTTTCGCGGAGTAGAATGTTTTGTGGCCCACACGCACACACACAGGACACACACCATGCGCACACTTAGTTATCTCCATGTGTCCGGATAACCAGCTCAACCAATGGGCCTTACTGACACGCTCTCCCCTCTCTGTCTGTCTCTCCGTCTCATTTTCTCTCAGATGAAAACAAAGAGCAGAGTAGTTTCTTTGTACCAGAGAGTGAGACAGCAGCGCCCGACTACTGGAGGGAAAGTTCAGGTATGATTTCTTTTATTTTTTTTGGTAGCAGATCAAATGCAGGGTTAAAACAACAACCATTTTTTAAAACAACATGCTGGTACTCCTGAAAGTACCATTATGAGTGCAATTTCAATCTCAAGTTGCAGAGAAAATCTAAAATCTTTATTCATACTTAGATCCAATCATGATCAAACATTCACAAAAGGAAATACAATTAACAACATCTTAACAGCTTGAGCCTGTAAATGGAAGTAGGCAAATTAAACCTATATATCTCTTTATCTACAGAGCAGAAATGTCATTTATTTGCTTGTGTAAATCCAAAATTAAGACATTGTATTTTTTAAGTACATCAATTTCAAAACACACAATGTTGACACATTTGCACCGTGTAAAATGTCTATACAATACAAAAGAAATGCTGATTAAAAACCATGATTTTATATAAGTTTCTTCTTATGACCCAAATGGGACTCGAAATACTTAAAGCAGCGAGAGAAAGCTCCTCCGTTCTACAGCTTCATCCACCTCAATCTCCTCCTCCTCCTCCTCCTCTCACGCGGGATTTAAGGGATTCATATAAATACACAGGAAAAGAAAAGCTGCTTCCGCCGCCGCTCTGCCACGGCTGCTCTCTTTAGCGGCGCTGTCGCCACGGCTGTTACTCTTAGGGGGGCCGTTATAGTTCAACAAGAAAACATCAGCTCGGAGATAAGCAGCCGCGGTGGCAATCTCCATCCTAGACCCATATCGCCGCCGACATAATTGCCTTTTTTTCCCCCTCCTCAGCGCAAAAAACCCTTTCCCGTTTGAAAAAGATCACAGCTTATTGCCTTTTTATATCTGTCAGGAAAACATTAAAAGTGCTTTATGACATCTGTGCCAACATTTATATCTACCCCCCACTCCCCACTCCCTCCACCCCTACACACACACACACCATAATGATCCCTGCGCATAATGTATAATGTATTTCGAAAAATTACACGAAACAAATTAAATGAGACCACCTTTCCCCTGATTGCCAAACGTCTCCCTGGGCGGTGGGAAGCTCTACGTGATTAGAAGGCCTGATTCCTCCGAGTCCCCCCCCCCCCTCCCTCCACTGTCTTTAAACTCTCCCTCTGTTTCTAGGGAGAAAAAATAATCTAATTTTCCATTTATGTAATGCAAACCGCCTTGGCTTTGACTATTCACGGTTAATTGACTGTCAAACGAGGTTGTTATCCTCGGGCACTGTCTGCAAATTTGCTTGTCAAATGAGACAGAGAGAGGAGAGGGAAGGAGAGAGGAGAGCTCTCTCTGCTCTAAATGAGAGAGATAGAGAGAAGCATGGGCTTAAGCAGCCAGGATATGAAATGACTGGAGGAGAGAATAAACATATCGAGTGTGCTGGATCGCTTCATTTAAGGCGCACAATGCCTATTTGTCACAATTCAGACATGAAGCGCAACACACATACATACCAGCAGAAGAACAATATAGAAACTTTCAAACTGATGCAGTGGAAAACAGTACGAGATAAAGATGTTTGTTAAAAAGGCAGATGAAAGATTGTGAAGTTTTACCGCAACAAGTAGATGCCTTCAGCAAAAGAAAAGCTTTAAAAATATACACAGACATAATATGCATCTATACAGTATGTATATGTGGCATATTATAATACAGTTGTACTATACTAATGCAGTTTTCATAGCCACTAGCATTGGTAAATAAAAAACACATTTTGACATTACATGCAACAGTTTCAGAGCAGAGTAAGCTCCAAGCTACGCTTTATTTTTATGCATTTTTTTATTTCTTGCCAAATTGATGGAAAGGCCCTTAAAGTACCTTTTCAGCACAGACCTTTGCTTCATTTTCACAAGCTACAAAATCATTTACTCTAATTCCAGAATGTTCTGTTTCTTAATAGAAAGCAATATTATCTGACAGCAATAAGAGATTGAACAGTGCACTAACGGTCTCCTTCAGGCTGCCAAGCACAAGCTTACACTGACATCTAGAGGACAAAGAGTGAACTACAGGGCTGTGATAAAGAGTAGGTGGGAAGAAGGGTTAATACACATATCAATAAAGTATCAATAAAGATGTTTCTAGATTGCAATACATTACAATGTGACTCTGGTATGTGTTGCATTTGAAATATAGTAGTCTCTGATGCTTACGGACGGGAAACACATTGGATATGTCTGTCATATGTCATTGTGCACGTAAAACACAAATCTAACATTAAGTCTTTCCGTGTTTTAGGTGATCAAAGCCGAGGTTCTGCCTCTCCTGTGGTGCAAAAGAAGGACGTGGAGAACATGGAGAAAGGTACAGATTGTTCATTTGAGTCACCAATATTCAAGTAAAACATTCAGAATCAGAAAAAGGTTCAGTGCATTGTAGGTTTTCACGTAGAAGGCGTTGGTGCATACAATTAAGATATTAAAAGAAAACAAGTTAATGTACAAGGTCAAGAACATAAATATAGAAAAGAACATCTATACAAAAGAAATGAACAATACACAATAGAAAACAGTACGACAGATATTCACAATATGACAGCTTAGAGACGGAGTTACCTCCCAGGTGCATAGATAACACATACATCTGGTAATAGTCCAAATACCTATTCATTTATATATCACTACAATATAGTATTTTACTCTACTGCAGAATATTCACTTTGACCTTCTGTTTTTATTTGTCTCACTCAATTGTAATATATAGTTGACTTATTTCTGCATGTTGCTTGCACGAATCTCTTGCACAATTGTATTTCTTATATTGTATATTAAGTATATTGTACGTTGCATTGTTGGAGGTGCACATTTTGATTGCCAAAACTTAGCTATTGTGCATGTTTCAAAAAAAGCCTTTGAATCTTGACTCATAAATCTCCTCTCTTTCTTTTCTCCTCCTCCTCCTCCTGCTCCTCCTCCTCCTGCAGAGGAGCTCCAGAAGGTTCTGCTGGAGCAGATCGACTTCAGGAGGAGACTAGAGCAAGAGTTTCACGCTCTGAAGGGCACCTCACCATTTCCTGTCTTCCGTAAGTCTATTTGTCACATCATTCAAGGTCAACGTGTCCTTCTCTGTCTTTCTGAGGTTCTTCTCCATTTCCCTTTCCCCCCTGCTCTTATCTTTTGTCTTTCCTTTGTCTTTCTAAACCTCCTTTATCCTCCATCGGCTGTTTTATAATAACTTGAATTGATCAGTTTCTCAAATGATAATACTGATCAGGCTAATCATAGATTCTAACGCTCATTTCAGATAATTTCCAAGACCAGATGAAAAGAGAGCTCGCCTACAGAGAAGAGATGGTCCAACAGTTACAGATGGTAAGACTCCTAATGATCCAATCAGCTCTGAACACTGATGGAAAAGAAATATCATTGCTGCGCCTTGAGACGACAAATAAAACACCCATTTATGGATAGATGGAGCTTAAAAAGCCTCGCTGTTTGCTTTGAAAAACAATCTTGGTAATGATTTTTCAAAAGGAATATAATTAAGGCTAATTATGAAGCACTTTTCAGTCAAATATAGTTACACAGTTTGAACAGCGAAAGAAGAAATCAAAAATGAATAAGGAAATGTGACAATAACAGCCCAATTAACACTAGACTGTAGACATGAATAACAAATCCAAACCTATGTCTTAAAACTAAAACTGAATTAAACAAAGAATAAATAAAGCCATCAAAAGGGATCAAGTGGACACTTCTCCTATGGCTTATTTGTCCGTCAGACGACAGAACCAATCATGTAGTTTGTCTTTCACGGGTGATAAGTTCCTCTGTTTCCGTCCACATCAATCAGCGCAGCAGCTGGCAGACCGGCTGACAGACGCTGTTTGTCTTTGCTTTCTGACACTCGCAACAACTGCACACGCTCGTATGCACATGATCGCAGACCTCGCTCCGAACACACACAACCAGAGCAGGCTGCGTTCATGTAACCACGAAGGCAGACGGAAACATTGTAGCTCATTTATAAGCATGCACATGCACGCGAAAAAACGTTGAAGACTGACTAATGTGTCAAGAAGCAGCAGATGGATCTGTCTGAGAGTAATGACACATTCATTTCACACAGACATTCGAATGAACTCTAGCAACATTTTAGATTTATGTTGCTGTGTTATCATTTCATAATGTTGGTTGGATTTGACACCTTAGCTTCACCCGTCTGGCACAGAGATTCATATTTCCCTTTAAAGGGGCCCTATTATGCTCATCTCCATGTTCATATGTGTAGTTTGTGCCTCTACTGTCCCATGTTTACATACTTTAATGTTCCAAAAGTGCTTCATTTTTCTCCTACTGCATGTGTTTCCAAATGTTGTTCAACCTGGATCAATCTAAAATGTTGTCTCTGAATCTTCTTCCCTTCAGATTCCCTACGCAAACATCATCAGAAAAGAAAAGATCAGCTCCCATCTCAACAAATAGCTAAAAGGTCATTGTTACTTTCATTCATTTAAAAATACCGCTTATTAATAAAAAGAATATCAGCACGGTAGATGTCAAATGAACATTTCATTATTTATAACACAAAGCAGCGAGAGTAAGTTCAGCAAGTTTAATTGCCTTTGTATAGTTCTGATAGTGTTTTAGAAACTAGACCACTAGGCTGTAATCAGCCAATGAAACTGGGTTGTTTGCTTTAAAGTGATTATTTCATGGCAAATTGGGAAATTTAAATACATTTTGTGCTTAATTTGATTGACAATAACTTATCCTGGTCCAGCTAAAAGACATACATAAGTATATACACATTAGTCTTTGAAAAACACTAATCCAGAACATGACACTAATTTGAGTTTCTATGTATTTACTTTCTTCACAGGCAGAATCCCCAATGAGAGGAAGACTGCCTGGATTTCTGTGAATGTCCCAAGAAGAAAAAAAACAGAGAAATATACGGGAGAGACCCAAACAGAATACGACTGAATATATTATATAAATACATTTCTTAAGTTCTCCTGGACATTTGTTTTCTTCTGCCTTTGTTATTAGCTCTGTTCAGTAAAACACTTTAGAAGTAGCTGATAAAAGCTCCTTTTCCCTGCCTCCAGTTTATTTCCCAAACTGACTGAACTAAAATGGGCACACACTGGCGACATTAGGGGGAAAAGGGGAAATCAAAGCTTCACCCAACCCGGACCAAAGCAACCACACTTTTGTGAGTTTTAGAGCTGTGAAAAACAAACTGTGAACTTTTCCAAGCTCCGAAAGACGAAGAGGACAGAGTCATAGCAACAGTAAGACTGTGTGTTATTGTCCATGACTGCTGCTGGCCCAACTGTACATACATCAGACTGTGGACAAGGACGGACTTCTAAGATTGATGGATCAGATTGGGACCCTTGAGAGAAAAACATTTGCAACATTTGGTCCCAAAGGGATTCTCCTCATCATGTCCAGTTGTGTTCATTGACCCAAACAAACGTCTCATAGTTACCCTGATTGTCAGCATGTCCCTGAAGAGGTCAGATGATCCTTTACTCCGTTAGATATTGCTAACTTGAATATGCCAGATGAAGAACAAGGGAGAAAATGAAATAAGTGTTTTGGGGTTTTAAACCTAAAGAGAGAGCAGTATTAATAAATACTTATTCACGTAACGCTTTAAGCAAGAGTTTTAGTATTTGGGGAGGGATTTCTGAGTGCACAAAAACCTACAGTATTATTTTCAATGCTGACATTTTTCACCTTTTATTTAAACAGGAAGTTAGCTCAAAACAATATCCTGTGTCACATCCACAGCTCAGCAGCCTTTTTACTGTTTTATTTGTGAATCCTTTCCTCAAAATGAACCGTGAAGATCATTTTAACCCTCCGACCAAATGTTTTTAACACCGATCCACGGGCAAGGTAACATTACCACCCTCAGCTAAATGATGGGGTGTTGTCAGATGGTTAAAACGACAATTAAAGGCCAATCCCTGTTTTCGTGTTTGCTCTCCAAATGAGTATCCGGGACACGAGGAGCAGAAGGCTGGCGTGTGTCAGTGTTGTACATCTACCTGTAAATGATTTGATCTGACTGTATACAATGTCAAAGTGAGAATACCGAGCCTCACAGTGAGCGTATCTATATGTGTTTGTTTGTTTATTTATTTGAGTACCAGGGCCTAAGACCCTGATTTGTGAACATATTATTTATTATAATGTCAAAAAGAAAGAAATGTGTTGATCAAGTGTGTGTCACAGGGATCACAAATGAGAACTCACCCACCTTGTTTATAGAATGAATGAATGGATAAAGTTGTCATTTACTGAGAGAAATGTTATCATTATAAACTGTTGATGCAGATGTATTAAAATATGTTCTTGTAGTTTCTCTACTATTTATGTGTAAATTAAAAGTCTATACAATAACTGGACTGTGGCTTCATGATTTGCGGTTCATGGAAATTAAATCATTTTCATGTTTCATACTTCATGCTAATGTGTCCTAGTAATACAGGCTGGACCATCTCCTAAATTAAGAAAATATATCATATTTGGAAAAAGAAGAAGCATATACGATACACACAAATTAAATAAAGGGAAATAAAAGATGTCACAACAGCAGCACGAGTCATTTGACAATGATTATATGAAACAAAATCATTTTTTCAATATTCAATTCTTTTTGTATGACTTTATTAGTCAATTTTCATTAGAAGAAAAGAGGACAAATATATAATAATTAAAACATACATGTGTGCCTATAGCCTATTTTTTATTATTTAGATTTTAGGGAAGATGCATAACTCGGGACACATAATGATTAAATATGACCTGTTTCCCCCATTAATACATGTGTTTTTAATCGACTACTTTGAAACAAAAGTTCCCTAAGACCAAAGTACATATTATTAGCTCGTTCCCGTTTACTACTGTTTTACGACGTCCGCTGCCTCTTTACGGCATATACATTTTTGGGAGTGGTGGACGCAGAAGAAGAAGGAGGAGGAGAAGAAGTTGCCAGCATGGCGTTTACACTGTACTCTCTCATCCAGACCGCTATTCTGTGCACTAATGCAGTCGCTGTGTTGCACGAAGAAAGGTTTCTCAGCAAGTGTAAGTATCCTTCTTTGTTTACATCATGCATTTTTATTAAAAATACGATGTTTACGGTGCTAAAAACAGCTAGCTAAGTGTGACGTTACTTCATTATCAGCTGCCTATATACACAGCCTTTTGTTCTAACAATCGGATTATGTTGGGATTTTTAAGCAGAAGTTTGAGGTTTGTTCATTGGAGAGACATGTTCAGTGTTGAATAATATAATGTTACCATTCTTAGAGCTAATAAAAGTAAGATTTATGGAAAAACTTAATGTTAAAGGAGTCCTTGTCCTTTTATGCAAATGTCCACGTTCATAATTATATGTTGTGCCTTTACTATGACATGTTTCCATGCTTTAATGTTCAAAAAGCTCTTTATTTTTCTCATACTGCCTGTGAAGCAGCACCTATTTTCACCCTCTGTCTGAAACCAGAGCCCAGTCTGTTCTGATTGGTTAGCTGGCAGGCTCTGTTGTGATTGGTCAATTCTTTAGAGAAGTCTCATCCCTTAGCCTATCACGTACAATCTGTTGTAGCGCTAGCCAATATAAGTTGTACACAGTGATGTTTTTATTTTTAATGAAGTAAACAATGGAGTCCAATTGAATGTTTCAGTCCCTCTAGGGAACTTTAAGCCATCACAGACCATTTACATGTTGAAAAACCTATATAAAACCACAAAAGGCATGTTAGGGACGATTTTAAAAACAAATACATTTGCTGTTGTGTTTTATTCTCTTCTAACCAATTGCTTCATCCTGTTTCCTTTCTCTTTTCTTTACTTTCCCCTCTGTTTCACCCCATTTGCTCCTCTCTGTCTTCAGTCGGCTGGGGGGTCGACCAGGGAGTTGGAGGTTTTGGGGACGATCCAGGTGTCAAAGCTCAGATTCTAACCCTCATCCGCTCGGTCCGCACTGTCATGAGAGGTAAGTAAGCTAGTTTACATAGGAAAACATAGATTCCACCTTCTAAAATTAAAGAAAATGTTGAGTGAATGATATATTTAGTTGTGCTGTGTATCATTTGAAAAGATCAGATTCAATGAAGGCCTGACCTATAGAAACCTTATTGGACCCCAAGTTGCAAAAAAACAAGAAAATTCATGGATGAAAAACAATGAAAGCATTACATCAGCCAAATATTTTTGTTTTAAATCAGGAAATATCAAATTACAGAATTCGTAAATTACCTAATTGTTGTTGGGGTACTTGTATTTGGTAGGCAGCCCTAGCATTCATGTATTTTCTAAGGGTTGAGGATTCTGCTAATTATTTTTTCTTCTCTTTTTTCCATAGTGCCTTTGATAATAGTGAATACAGTCTGCATTGTCCTCTTGTTACTCTTCGGTTGACGGCGGTACACTGAGCACCAAAATGAAGCCAGAGGACCAGATGTGCCAAAGAACAACCACAAACTTAAACACAGAGAAATATCCATCAGTTCGAGACTTTGCCAGTCATCAGCAGAGTGACGAACGGCATGGAATTAGAAAAAACGTAAACATTTTACACCCAAAGACAAGATGAAACAACCCAACCACAAGTCACAGAAAGGCTAGTTTGGCCTAAACACCAGGACTAACCCTGACCTCACCTGCGTGTCAGTGGGACACAAAAAGGACACAATGGAAATAATTATTGGTCATATCGCCACTTTGTGTTTCATAGTTTGTCCTCGTTTCAACACTCCGCGATACAATGGTTTAATTATAATGTATGTTTTATCATCTTGTTACAAACGATAATGTAAAACAGTGTTTACAGAAGTAGGGCTTGACAATATGGAAAAAATGAGGTGCCATTTTTATTTATTTCAAACTGGAAGTAAGTTAAAAGTATTTTTAGGCTGCCAACTTGTATTTCAGGACTTCATTCTGATAGTGTATGCTTTAAAGTCCAAAACCTACTTGGCGTTTCAGGTGCAATATACAGATTTTACACAAACAGTCAGACAAATGTTCTGTGATTTATCCGTATGTAAAATGTGGTTAAATGTTTTAATCTAGATTCTAAGCAATACTGCCAAACGCAGCTCAAAACAATCCACATTTGTACTGGTTACACATCAATTCCCTCTCAATGACACAAACATTGTAATAGTAATGAGATGTTTTTTTTTGTCTTGAAATAAATGTATTATTCAATTCTTTACATTTTCTTTTTTTTGTTATCATACATTTGTTTTCACTTTAGTCAGAGTATTGTTTAAGGACCCCTCTCTTCAGTTTGACATACACATATAATCCACACATTTGTCCATCCATCCCTGCTCCACTTCATTGATAATCCACATATGTTGTGAATTATCACCCTTTCCTCTGCCACTAAGCTGCACAAACATTTGTATGAACACTACTGTAGATTCTAAATACGTGGGAAGGGGAGAGGGGATCTGCTGGAATTAGTAGCATATGTTTGTCAGAGAGATTTTCGCAGTAAAGCCACTTTGATCTGTGATTAGTCTGAGTTTAGCGGTGGGTTCAAAGTGACATCTGTAAGCGATCATGCATGAATATGGATCTGCACTTCACAGGTCAGGATGTTTGGGGATTTTCAATGATAAATAATTCAGATGTTGTTTTGACCCTTTAGCTTGTAAAGATGTACATGTTTTATGACTTGTTACTTTTATGACTTTATGGGTATAAGGAGTGAAACAAATGGGAGAAACAAAAATGAAACAAATGGGAGAAAAACGACATGACATGCAGCAGAGGGTCATGGGTAAGATTCAAAACTCGAACATATGTTGACTTTAATTCTAGAAAGACATCTTCAACATTAACTTGAAAAAAAGGGACTTGATTTTTTAACGTTACAGATAAACATGAGAGCTATTATAAACATGCGAGCTATTTTAAATCTTTACAATTAACTAAATTAAGTGTATTGGTTTTAGACTTGACATCCTCAATGTCTGTCTACCA